ATTTTCCTCTCTATGTGATTGTGGGTAAAACATGAACTTAATATTAGAATTTCACATAGCAATATAATGTGTAGTTCAAGAAAGCATTCATAAGTCCTGCACGGAAGGGATTGTTTTTAAGACCCCCCTCACCCCTGTGGAAATTGAAATTATAAGCTTGATACATTGATTTTAGTGTTTTGGTCTTAGAGAACCCCAGCCCCTCCTGGAAATTCCAATCCTTTCTGTGAGGGAGTAGGGATATTTTCTGGAACTGTGCAACAGTATCAGTAACAGTAACCTTTATTGATATACAATTGCACTCCTTGGAGGGGAGTAAAATTGAGCTGAGATGTGATTCTTGGAGGTAAAATCAGAAAAAAAGAGCTGATCTTGTGGGGAGATGTAAACATGATAAGAAGAAAATTTACACAACTCCAATAACGTCAATGATTATTCTACTAAATATAACATTAAAAAAAAAAAAAGAAAAAAAAAAATACAGAGTCCAGCTTTTATCTGTCAATTTGTACACTCAGTCAATCAATCAACAGGTAATTTCCACACATTCTGGGAAAAATCACCTGACCTTGAACACAATTAACAATGGTACCACACAGATGCTACCTCAGATTATTTTCTTTTGGGGAGGACCACCGAGACACAGGTGTAGTGTCCCGCATGTTCATTGTGACTGTTTTATTATTATGGGATATATTGTAGCGAGCATGGGTCTCGAGATGTCAAACGATTAAAACATGTTGTTGTTATGAACCGAGTTTTTTAGTGTATTAGGACGAAGACACCACATTTGGCGACGAGGATGGGATATTTAACTCGCCGAACGGCTGCTGAAGTGGAAACCAGTTTAAACGGTGGACAAAACTCGCACAGATGGCCGTATGCTTGAGCGGATTACCTGGATTGCCTGCGTTCGACGCTGTCGGTGAACCAGCTACACTTTCACAACGATGGTTAACTTGGAAGAATGAATTTGAGCTCTATGTTACTGCCTCTGGAATCAGCGACCCTACACAAAAAGAGCGCTACTACTTCACCTCGCTGGGCCCAAAGTCCGAGGTGTTTTCAATAATTCGATTCCTGCCGAAGCACGTGGCGAAGCGAAAGATAACAAAAAAGTTATAGACTGCCTCTCGGAACACTTCAAGCTTAAAAAGAACGCTCGGATGGCCCGACAAACATTTTTAGGGGCTACTCCATTAGCTTGTGAAACCATCAACAATTTTATTACTCGCCTGCAGAAAATAGCAGGGCATTGTGACTACGAGGGCGAAAGGGACAATCAGGTAAGAGATCGCGCCATTTCTTTCCTGAAAGACAAAAATCCCAAGTCAAAGTTGTATCGTGAGGAAACACTGACTCTCAGCAAAACTCCTGGAAATCGTTGGTCAGTACCATGACAAAGAAGCGCTTATTCTTATCGCATAAAGCCAAGTAAACAGCTTGTCCAGTGATCGAAAACAAGGTGGAAAATGTTGGCGGTGCGATAAAGTGGGCCACTTCGCGAAAGATTGCCGTCGGTCACGTGACCACAAGTGCAGAAAGTGCGGCCACATGGGTTATATATTTTGAAGTGTGTTGTCACTCCAAGCAGAATAAAGGACGGGACTCTAGCCGCAGTTCAAGTCGTGGTCGTGGAAGCTCACGAACAAAACCCAGACGTGGACGAAGAGGAGGAAATTCAAAGGAACAACGCTATGTACACAACGTGACCGGAGACACGAGTGCCGAGAACCGTGTAAGCAGTAATGATTTTTACGTGTTCACCTCCGGGAGCACTGATGGACAGAACACTATGGAACTCATGATTGAAGATAAGCTCATAAACGTTGTTATAGACTCTGGTGCTAGTTGTAATTTAATGTCAGAGGAAATGTTTAATTTTGTAACAGGGGGAAATGCTAGATTGTTGAGTGTAATAAGAGAGTTTATGCTTATGCTTCTGTAGAACCACTCCAGCTTAAGGGGAAGTATAGTTTTAATGCGCAGGTGCCACAGACCCACAAATCCCTGCATACTGAGTTTTATGTAATGTGCGGTAAAGCAGCAACGCTACTAAGCCGCGAAGCCTCCGAGTTGCCGGGCGTGTTAAGGGTCGGCGTGTCCATTAACAGCTGTGATGTTAAATCTGATGACATGAAAAACCTTGCAAACCAAATTTACGGAAAGGCCCCACTAAAGACCAAATTCCCAAAAGTATATCAAGGTCTTGGCAAGCTCAAAGGGTATCAGCTAAAACTCCACATTGATGAGAAAGTTCAACCAGTCGCTCAGCCAGTACGCAGAATTTCCTTTAGTAGAAGAGCCAAAGTCACTGAGAAGCTAGAAGAATTGCTCAAACTTGATGTCATTGAAAAGGTGGAGGGAACAACCAGCTGGGTGAATCCCTTAGTTGTAGTTGAGAAGCCTAATGGTGACATCAGAATATTTCTTGACATGAGGCAAGCAAATCAGGGCATTGTACGGGAGAAACACCCAGTTCCAACAGTTGAAGAGACACTTCAAGAGGTCTCCTATGCCAAAGTTTTCTCCAAGCTAGATCTAAATATGGCTTTCCACCAAATTGAGTTAGATCCAGACTCTAGGGACATTACAGCATTTGCTGCGCCTGATGGTTTATACAGGTACAAGCGCTTACTCTTTGGCGTGAACATGGCCACGGAAAAATTCCAGCAAATCGTGTGGCAAGTGATTAAAGGCTGCCCAGGAGCATACAACCTCCATGATGACCTGCAAGTCGTTGGGACAGACGACAAAGAACACGATGAGAACTTAGACAGGGTCATGCGCAAACTGGAGGAATCTGGCCTCACCCTGAACTATTATAAGTGTGAAATTGGTGTTAGCAGCATGGTTTACATGGGTGATGTACTCTCTGGTGAAGGACTGAAAGTCTCAAGTGAGTGAGTAACAGCTATGGTCGAGGTACCAACACCCCAGAACCAGACTGAAGTAAGAAGTTTTCTTGGGTCAGTTCAATTTTGCGCGAGGTTCATCCCAAACTTTGCAACCATATCAAGTCCATTGTGGGACCTAAGCAGCAAAGATGTTAAGTGGCAGTGGGGTGCAAAAGAGAGCAAAGCCTTTCAAGAAATCAAAGACCTGCGAACTAGACCACCAGTGATGGCCTACCACAGACAAGGTGCCACGACACGCCTCACAACCGATGCCTCTCCTCTTGGAGTTGGAGCGATCCTGGAGCAGAAACAAGAAGACGGGACCTACAGGCCAATATATTGCGCAAGCCGAAAGCTTAGCAAAGTTGAAGCAAGATACTCCCAATTTGAAAGAGAAGCTCTAGCTGTCAGATGGGCTTGCGAGAAGTTTTACCTGTACCTATATGGAATTAAATTCGAGATCCGCACTGACCACAAGTCGCTAGTCACAGTACTCAGTGCAAAGTCCAAACCTCCATCTGCCCGGATAGAAGGGTGGCTCTTGTACTTGCAGCGATTCCAATACACGTCGACACACATACCAGGCAAAGCTAATGCAGCAGATGTCCTCAGCCGCCTGCCCGTTAGCTCAACTCAAGATGAAGACACCCGAGAAACTGAAGATTTTGCATACAGTGTGGCGAGTGCAGCAGTGCCAGCCGCTTTACTGCTGAAGCAAGTCGAGACTGCCACAGCAAATGACCCAACCTTACCGATAGTGCGCAAAGCTGTAACGACTGGTGACTGGACCCAGCTGTCAGACACCATCTACAAAGCAGTTAAAGAAGAACTTTGAGTAGTAGGACAAGTAGTGATGAGAGGAACTCGTATTGTGATGCCTCAAAGCCTTTGGAAACAAACCATCATGTTGAAACACGAAGATCATCAGGGCATGGTCCGTACTAAAGCCAGGTTGCGAGAGAAAGTGTGGTGGCCGCAAATGGACAAACAGGTGGAGGATGCCATACGTTCTTGCCATCCTTGTCAGCTTGTAGGACCAAGAGCAAAACCAGAACCCATGAGGTCAGGCAGACTGCCTGATGGGTCCTGGCAGGAGATCTCAGGTAAGATCTTCTTGAGATCTCAAATGGTGAACACCTCTTGGTAGTTGTCGACTTTTATTCTCGTTGGCTCGAGGCCATTCTCCTGAAGAAGACAGATGCTCGACACGTGATAAAGAGTATGGAAGCTATTTTCAGAACACGTGGATTACCAGAAGTTCTACGCAGTGACAATGGACCACCATTTGCGTCGAAGGAATTTGAGGGCTTCCTGCCCCAAGAAGGGCGTACCCTATTGGCCACAGAGCAACGGAGAAGTGGAAGGTGGCAATGAAACAATTCTGAAGATTGTGCAAATTGCTCGCCTAGAAGGGAAAGATTGGAGAAAAGCACTTGAGAACTTTCTCTTCCAGTATAGAGTTACCCCACATACTGTTACTTGAGTGTCGCCTGCAGAACTGATGATGGGGAGGAAACTGCGCTACAAGCTTCCTCGAGTTGAATTCTCCAAAGAGCGTACAACGGAAGCATATTGGCAACGGCTGTTGAGAGAGAGAGACAGTCGTGCAAAACTCCGCCAAAAAGAATATGCAGACAGAACACGAGGAGCTAAACACAGCAATATTGAGGAGGGCGACAAAGTGCTATTAAAGCGGACACGTGAAAACAAGCTCTCACCGAACTATGAGCCAGAACCTTACACTGTCACTCACAAAGATGGAAATGCTGTCATCTTACAGGACACAAATGGGAACAATAAGATGCGCAACATTGCTCACATGAAAAAGTTTGTCGATCCTGAAACTGTTGACAAAGGGGAAACAGATCCGCAGCCACACTTACCCGAGCAGCCAGTGCAGCCCGAACAGGATCACCCAAATCCCAGTGCTAGTCAACCAGCAGCAGATACAGGGGAAGCTCCATCTAACCCCTTGCCTTCAGTCGCTTCGCGCCCCGTGCGTGCCAGGCAAGCGCCCGCCTGGATGCAAGTTTATGTGTACGCATAGTTTAAATTACTCAGAAGAAAATAAGAGACTCCGGACTTTCTTTTAAACACTTTACTAGTCACTTCGAGATTGTTATCTCCACCTTCATAAGCTTTTATGGATTTACTTGTTTGTTTTTGTAATAACTTAGGGGGAGATGTAGTGTCCCGTATGTTCATTGTGATTGTTTTATTATTATAGGATATGATATAGCAAGCATGTGGTCTTGAAGATGCCAAACGAATAAAACATGTTGTTGTTATGAACCAAGTTGTTTAGTGTATTAGGACGAAGACACCACACCTACGATCGACAATCCCTGCATAGAAAGTGATGCCAGCAACAATGAACGGAATTCTTTAATATTCTTCACCTTTCTGTTCATGGTTCGAACAGTTTCGTTGGTAAACCATCGCCAAACTTAATTTCTCACCCAGTTAAAAATTCAAGCACCTTAAAAATTTCCGGCTCTTTCCTGCTTTCCCCGCCGAATATATCAACTGGGGTTTCTAAAAAAGACCGTTTTGTTGCAACAACGACATGTGTTGAGCCGTGAGTTAACAATATGGCTCAAATCCTCCATGTCCTCCATTTTAAACACCGCTCAACATTAACACCGCTGGTCACAGCTGTTTCATATTTTCGCGCCAGCAGTCGGCTCGAGCATTCTGACTTCCGTTCACGATTTCTTTGTTTTCAAACAGCCAATCAAAAAAATTCGAATTTAATTCGAAAATCCAATGCCCCCAGAGCCCTTCGATTCTCGTGCCAAGGCCCCGCCGGCTAAGAGGAGCGAAAAGGGCTATGGGGACGAGAATGATTTTAGTATGGCGGCCACTGTGCGATTTGCTGTTGAAGTCGTTGTAGCTGGTTTTCAAGGTAAGAGAGTCTATAAGAATGCTTTTCTCATGTATAGCTAAGCTATAGATTTATGAAAGAGAATGAAAACAAAATTGTGTCTGTGTTTTGCAATGTAGAATACGGTAGACAGTAGTTCGTGAACTTGTAAGGTCGACATTTTGGCGCATTCTGTTGAAATCGCTTTTTCCACGAGTTTAGGGAATGAAATTAGACGTTTTGAAAAGCACAGAAGTAGATCAGATGATCGAGCGTCCTTCGTATTGGCTGTTAAATACATTGACTAAAGGTTTTGAAATTTTTTTAATCACTTCTACTGATTTGTCACGTTGTAGTCTGAACAAATTACCAGCGTTTTTTTATGGTATAGTAGGAAGTAAAGTAACTTACCACTTTTCTCTGGTAATTTTATTGTTGTATGTTCTGACAACAACAACGATATGTGTGGGGTTAATGTAGTGTCATAAACTATTTAAATAACAGCTCAAGTTGTAGCACTAATGTGGAGTGATAATTCTGTTGTTGTTGTTGTTGTTGTTGTTCAGCATTTAGTATCAGTTGTGACTCAGTAGTGAGCTTGCTATGAATAACTTACTCTGAGATTACGATATTGGTCAATGTAAAGTGAAGACTATGGACTGCATACTGCAGACTGGGGGTAAACTGCAGACTGCAGACTGCACACTATTTAATATATTATTATATCTTGTTATTTGCATTATTGAGTGTTAATCATAAACAGGACTATTCCGGCCAATCGTAGTGAAAGACTGCACCCCAGTTAGCCTGAATATCACTCTGGTTTGCCTGAATATCACTCAGGCTAGCCTGAATAATGCTTCGGTTAGCCTGTTTACAGTTATCTGTCACTTTTTTGTGACAGAACAGACTAAGTTTTTGCTTATACCTGTTCATGGTTGTTTGATCTACAATGAGGGACAAAAGTGCTGAGATGGCAACCCTAAAGCATGGAATCGGAAATCCAGAATCTGGAGTCCAGAAACTGCAAACCAAAAACTGGAATCTGGAATTCATGAAATTGAGAATAACAACAGAAAAAATTCACTTCAACAATGCTCATGAAATAGATAAAGGAAAAAAGTAATGTTATTATTGTTCTTCATTTTCTCTGCTTTACATTATTGCAAACTGCATGTTGTGTATTATTGTAAAAACATAACTAGTTTTGAACAACCCCTCAGCTATACATGTGGCCCGGTTGTGCAAAAGGTGGATAATGCATTCCATTGGATTAATCATTATCCAGTGGGGATAGCTTCAGGTGGATATAGTTAGCCATCCTTTGATGACCTCTGATCAACCTGGCCCGGACAAGAGCGTTGTTCTTGTTAAGCTCACATTGTACAAAAGAGACTGATGAGTAGCAGAAAAGTCACAGCATTGACCCAAAAGCAATGTTTGTTTGTGATGAATCTTTCAACACGACAACCCAAAAACATAGAAACCAGCTTCGGGGGATCCATAATCCACAAACAAAAGAAACCAAGAGCTTCAAATTTTCAAATTATATTGTGTAGATTTTGCCTGTTAAAAAAGGCCAATAGAAAAGGACCTCAAACTTGACCTCTTTTGAAACCATTACTTCCAGTGAAGGCTATGGTTATGAAAATCTTAACTAATTAATGTGCATCACAATTTGATTCTAATCACCCTGAGAACGACTGAAGTAAGCTTTCTGGTAATTGGCATTTTGTTTAAGTGATCTACAATTTGCGGGAGGTATAATTTGGCCTACACGTCTAGTAGATACTAAACAAGTTAGCAATGTCATAGAAAACTGGGTTTCATTAGTGGCAGCAGGCTGTAACTCGACAGTCGCACCTCTCACTTTAGATATGCAAGGGTTAACTTGGCTCTTCTAAGAAAAGTTTGTTTTTCTAAACATGCAAGATTAATTCCAGAACAACACTATTTTCACACTGATAGACTGTGTTGCAAATCATGACTGGATATTCTTATCCACCTTCATATTAAGATAATTTCAAAAAATGGTTGCACACTTACTTACGTGTCCTCCTCATTTGCAAATGGATTGGATCACGTTGTTCAAAGATGCCTAAAGAATGCAAGAAACACATTGCATGCAAACATCTCTTTGATGTCAGTGCTGGGAGAATAGCTTGTTTCTATTGTGCTTCATTCTTTTCAGAGTAGTTTGATCTAGACAAGAACCACCCTTCTGCCAAGTGCCAGGTTCAACCCTATCTTCCCTAAAACTCACTAACCCTGACTGGATAGTGATGTATCCTGTGACAGTGGATCCACCCTTTTGAACAGAGGGGTCAGGCCTGGGTTGTTTGGAGGTTGGATAATACTATCCACCAGATAAATCGCTATCCAGTGATAAGTGTTAACAAAACAAACCATGCTATCTGCTGGATAGTGATTTATCTGGTGGATAGCATTATCCACTTTATGAACAACCCGGGTCAGATGTATAGCTGGGTGTTGCTTAAAACCAGACATGTTTTTTTTTTATTTTTTTTATTTTTTTTTATTTTTTTTTACAATTACAGTTTGTGGTTGAGGTTGGAAGAAAAGAAAAAACAGTGACAACGATATTTATTTCTTTAGTGGACATTGCTGAAGTGAATTACCGGTATTTCTGTCGATGTTGTGAATATCAACAAATTGCACCCATTGGTTTCTGGATTCCATGTTTTAAGGTTGCTGTGCTGAGCACTTTGCAGTAAAAGTCTATTTTCCAGCATCTTGGAAACATTGCCTGCCCCTTCTTCTTTCCCCCTCACCCCTCTACAAACTGTGTTGATTTTTCTAACGGTATTTCCAAGACTGTACAGATCACAAAACCCACACAACATTGAACTAGGAGGCTGTGGGAATAAGAGAATTAATGCTAGATGTAAATGAAAAATTATAGCATGAGAGGTTGAATATTGAAGTGTCCTAACTACTTTTTTCACCCATTATAAGTAATATGATACAGACATTTATGGGTTAAACATAAGCTTAAAGAACAGTTAAAATTTCACATTGCACTCATTGGAGGGAAGTAATATTAATAGAGATTAGATTCTTGCAGTTAAAATCAGTGAAAAGAGCTGAACGAACATAAGGAAACAATTTGCCTAATTCCAATAACATCAATAATTAATCTACTAAATATAAATCCAGCTTTAAACTGTCAATCAGTCAACAAATCAAGTCATTTTTCACACATTCTGAGAAAAATCACCTGACCTTGAACACAACAAGCCACGTTCGATATATATTAATATTCAAACATGGCTCTGAGGCTTTCAGGACAAACTTCTACCGTATGGCACTGAATTTTTGTGGGTTCTAATTGTTGCAACTGTTGCGATTTTTGTGGTTTTTTCCATGATGCGTTTAAAAAAAATGTTCTTGCAGATAAATATTATTGCAAAAATGTTCTCTGCAAAAGTTTAATACTCTACTGGCGAAATTTTAAATACAAACATCACAAGTAGAAACTTATTGCTGTCATCAGCCACATACAAGCATGATGCAGTTGTGATAGAGTGACAATGGTTACTAGATTACTGTGTTTTAATTCTCTACCTGTTGTTTCCCTTGTTAATAATTGATTTTGTCCATAACCCTTAAGTGGGTATAGGGCCAGTTGTTAATAATTGGATGCACTTTAAAAACTTGAAAATGTTTTAATTTCAATTAAACGTGACTTCCCAAAAATCGCAAAAATTAATACCCAGCAAGAAAAACCAGTCGTTTACAAAAGAAAAAAACTCCAAAATTTAGTGCCATACATTTTGATTATATTTGTTGGTATTTTCTCTGCATCTCTCTTTTGGTAATTGAGGTAGCAAAGAAACTTAACAAATTTGAAATTTTGTCCTGAAAGCCCCAGGGCCATGTTAGAATATTGTTGATATATCGAACATGGCCCATTAACAATGGTAGCACACAGATGTTCCCTTAGATTCTTTGTTTTGTGGAGCTCCACCATGGAACAGGCTACAATAAAAACTCCGAATTGTTATTTGGCTATTCAACTTCATAACTA